TTGGTCAAAGAGTACTCTCAAATTTTTTCAGAATGTTCCGAAGCGATTTTCGATTTTTTGAAAAATCGTAAAATCGATATTTTGAAAAATTTCATCAAAAAATCTGAAAAAATTTGATAATATTCTTTGACCAATTCTGAGACATTTTTGTTCTTAGAAAATTTTTGATAAACCCTACATGAAAAAAAATATGTATGCTTTACGAAAAAAAACTTCCAAATTTTTGTTTGATATTGAAGAATACGTCTTTAGCCATTTATATTTTATAAATGTTGCCCGATTCTCACCGCGAGGAGGTAGACGTCACCGAGAATCTTTATTTATTTTTTTTTATTTATTTTTGTTTTATTTTTTTTTATTTTTTCTTTTTTTAATTTTTTTCTTTTTTTCATTTTTTTTCTTTTTTTCATTTTTTTTATCATTTTTTTCTTATTTATTTGTGAGTTTTATTGAAACATTGAAGACAAAAATATAAATTGCAGTCCTCACAAATCTTATGACTTCTGACCGAACATTTTCCGTCATTACAATATTTTTTCACGACACCATGCTTGAGTATATGAGTTTCTTTTTTTTTTATTTGCGATTTTGCCAGATAATTTCGACTGATATCAAGAGCAAATTCTTTTGACCCTACTTTACGATCATCATTGTTACATATATTATATAAAACAGTGGCGTTAGTTATAGATGATTGTATCAAGCGAATGAAAACAACCCATGTCCACTTTTTTGATCTTACTATCGGGAGAAGCCTATTGCAATGTTGATAGTGTACATCAACACCTCCCATAAATTTATTATAATACGTGAAAGCATTCGGATATGGAAATTTGTTTTCTTTTTCTCTGTTTTATTATAACGATTAATAGTTGATAGTGGTGTAACACCAGCAGCAGTTGACAGAATCGAAACAGGTTTGGAATCAACGACTGTTATAAAATTCATTTTGCTGCCTTTTTCGTGCTTTACTACGTATGTGCCTTTAGCAGCTTTTTTATCCACTTCATTTTTTTCCGAAATTCTGTCACTTCTAACCGTACCAGTAGCTCTAAGACCGATTTTTTTCATGTGCACCAACAAATCCGGACTAGTAAACAGGTTGTCAAAGTAGATATGATATTGAGGCAATTTTCTTTTAGAAGTTTCTATAAGTAAATGTTGCAGCATTTGAAGAACGACTCGACTTCCTTGGGCACAGTTAGGTAAAAAATCGCCTGAAGTTGACTTTTTTCCACAGTATATATCGCAGTCAAATAAGTAACCTTCGGCACTGCATAAGGCCCACATCTTGATCCCAAATCTAATGGGTTTAGATTTTATGAACTGTTTGAGGGAATTCCTTCCAAAATATTTAATCATCATCTCATCGATAGAGAGAGCAGTCGAAAAAAATCCAAATTGCCTGATGTTTTTTCTGAATATATTTAGGATTTTTCGGACACGCCAAACTTTGTCATTGTCGTTTTGATCATTTGGCGTTGAACATTTTAAGAATGATTTTATTTTTTTCAAATTCATTCCACGACATTGCTGATTTTACTTTTTCCGCTTCCAATAACGGATCGGTAGACCAATAGTCTCTTTGAGATAGCCTTCTATTGAAGATGGAAAATATAACTATTCCAATAAACGTCTCTAATTTATCTAGAGAAATGTCACAACCATTAGCAATCGTACAAGATATAATGTACTCCTTCAAATCAGATGAAAAAAATAACTCAAACAGTTCCCTAAAAGTAAGAGATGCTAACTGTTTTTTATCCTTCTCAGAGAGCAGTATTTCATTTGTCAAAATTTCGTTTGAAAGATATTCACCCTGTTCCCACGTGTATACATAATCACTCTCTAACTTTTTCTGTGCTATAGAGTAGTTACTCAATACTTTTTCGTAGGATTCATAACATAGAAAAGAGTCAATTTCCGAACATAGAGATATAAGAATAGAGCGCACGAGAGGGCTACACACGCGACAGAGGGTTAGAAAGAGAGCGCTACAAATAAGGTCCGTCTATCCTTTTCGTGCAAAAGTGGAGAGACTGGAGTTCCCCTTAAGCTCTCTGAGCTCCCCCATTCAAGTTGTAACCTAAGCCCCTCTTCCAGGGCACAACATAGCCAACATAAATCTGACATTACTTTCATTACAGTTGTCAACGTCGATAGTCGAGTTGACAAACGTTTTGCTCCGTTCGGAGGTCAAGCTTTCGATTCTCTGACAAGGAAAATTTATTTTTTTTACTATTATGTTTAATGAAAAATTGTGTTCTGGTATATTTTTTGAATTTTTAATAAAAATATTTTTTGATGTGTTTATTAATTATTGTAATCATTTATTAATTATTTATTCACAGCGAGTATATTTGTAGAAGTATAAAAATGTCTTGATAATAACGTTTTGTAATTAACATTTTATTGTACTTCATTGTAATACATATTAATTAGACTTGCAACAAAAAATTTGATTTTACAATAATTTTCACATGGAAGTTGATAATATAATAAATAATATTGTCTAATTTATAACGCTTTTTATATCTTGAAATAATAATTAATGACTCGACATTTTATTGACCAGAAAATATTGTTACCTTATTATTATGCTTTCTTACAACTTGATCGTTTATGATTGCACTTTCGTGTTTGAATATTTAAGTAAGTTTTAATGATTAACAAAATTAATTGATATCTATGATCTAAAAAAATTTTTTTGTTCAAGACAATGCTTGTCGTCATCTAGAATAGAAGCTGGTAAAATTCTTAAAGTTTCAATAACAATTGTTTCACAAATATTTTCTGTGAATTTTACTTTTTGTTGACGTATAATTTTTTCGGTTGATTTACAAATGAAATTAACATCATCGGAGGCGAAATGTAAACCTCCATAATTTTTTAATACTGTTAACTTAGACTTATTAATACTATCTTTGCCATCTAATATATCACAACATTTTTGGCAGTGAATTTTTTTCTTAATAATACGAACTACAGCACCAGCTGTGTGCTTAATAATTTCTTCAGCGTATTCGGATAAAGCAGTGGACGAGTAATTGTGTTCGAAAGTAGCGTAATTATAATTGAAATATTCACTGAAGTTAATACTGAACTTAACACCTTTACGATTGTCACAATGTTTTTCAGAGATTTTCGCTGACGTGTTTTTTGCGGGTTCGTTATCAGCGTTTAGATTTTTCTCATTAATGCACTCACTAGCTTCAGTTATCATGATCGTTTCATCCAGTAGAGAACAATTTGCAGATGATGAAATGATTATATTTTGTTTATTTACTGCCAATTTTCGAAATGCCGATAAATATTGTGTTGTTGTTGGATTATTATTGAATCCATTCATACGTCTTATACATGAAAAAAACATCTCAACGTGATCTTGAGATAGTTTGTAACTTAGAAAATATTCAACAGTGTTATTTTTAATTAAATACTCCGATAAACTTAATAAATTTTTCAAACATATGATGGATCCAACAAATCCTGTACTAACCGAATCACAATAAACAACGGACTAACCCTCAGTAACATAGTGTGAAGGTACATTATTTGGTATATTTTCTTTGCAATTTTTTTTGGTCTTACAAAAATAAACAAATTTTCGATATAATTAATAAATTTTTCAGTCTTCAATTGTACATCTT